TATTCTTGTGGTACTGCAATTCACCAAAGCATTGGTGTTCACAGTAATGTGGGTTTGTGTAGAGGTTGTTGACTTAGAGGGCAAAATATACTGACAAGCTTTACAATGGCCGCATTTATAAGTTCATCCTTCATTAACAGCACGTAGATCTTCCAATCTACAAGACCAGCTCGTTCTGAGTCACTTAACACCTTAACAAAATAAATTTATTTACAAACACCAGAGCCGTCCGACCGTCACTAAAACCAAATCCCAACTCCGAGTCTAAGCCATTGGGGGGAGTACTAGCGACAAAACGCTGGGGGGGACGACAAGAAAATGGCTCCCATGAACAAAAATGTAGCTGCGAAGGCAAACACACACAAACAGTTTTCGTGGAAACGAACGTAAGTCCAGTGTGCATTTGCAGCGGAAAAACGAAATAGCCGTGCATATAAGGCACTAACTGCGTTCGCGAGAAAAACGCCCAAACATTCTAACTGAACGAAACATGCGTGCGCACGTTCAAATCCAACGAAAGTGCTGAACAGGAAACAGATAGTCCCTGAAGACGTCCTTGAGCCCTTTTTATAAAAGTGGGCTCAGGGAGGTCCCAGAACACAAGCAATACACAAGTAGCTAAATCACATTTAAACAAAACAATGTAAATCAAGAAATCAATAAATATACAAATCAATATACCAAGAATAAACTAATGTATAATAATGTAGAAATATAACAAGAAAAAACTAATGTATTAATACTGTAGAATTAAGTAATAGTATAATTAAATACATCAACTATATTATCAAGTATTACATTTAAAAGAGTTAAAAGATCCCACATTTAAAAAAAATGTTGGGACCTGGTGTTACTTAACTGAGGGAGCAGCAAAGAAAGAGGAAATAGATTACGTATCATCGCCTATTATGCTGGAGAGTGGAATCTGATTGGCTGTTCCTGTCGCTAGGAAGATATACCTCTCATGCTATTTATTGTTATCATACCGTTTGAATTTTATATTTTTCTTTACTGCTGAGGGATATAAAGAAAGAGTGCAGCATAATAGGAGCCTCCTCTAAAATTAGAATGGGTTTATGAAACAAAGGTGATATCAAACTTCCTAATTGCATTCTATGAAAAGTAAGTAGAAGTATAGATCATTACAGTGGCCGCATTTATAGGTTCCTCTAGTTTCTGTTAACCAACTTTTAACTGGTAAGGAAGGTGTTAAGTGACTCCGAACGAGCTGGTCTTGTAGATTGGAAGATCTACGTGCTGTTAATGAAGGATGAACTTATAAATGCGGCCATTGTAAAGCTTGTCAGTATATTTTGCCCTCTAAGTCAACAACCTCTACACAAACCCACATTACTGTGAACACCAATGCTTTGGTGAATTGCAGTACCACAAGAATAATCTACCTAATTACCTGCAGCTGTGGGCTCCAATATATAGGTAAAACTTTCCAGCAATTTAGACGGAGAATTTTGCAACACATAACATCCATTAAGAATACTGTAACTCCCACTCCTGTGGCTAGACATATCCAATATTTCCATGATGGCAAGTCTGAGAATTTAAGATTCCAAGCTATCGAGAAATTAATTCCCAATCCCAGAAAGGGTGACTTTAACAAGGCCCTATTACGTAAGGAATCACAATGGATTTTCTCTTTAAAACATTGGCCCCCTTAGGGCTCAATGAAGAATTTAATTATACTCCGTTTATACATTAACAACTTTGATTCAGATTACTAGGGTTGTTAGCACTCCTCCTTTCTCCTCCCTTGCGAGGGGTACCGAGATAGCAATCTTCTTTGTTGTTAACATGTGTAGCTTGTTGTTATATCACAATAATATATTATCAATTCTCTGTAAATTCTGAATTTCTCTTAATCAATAATCAATGTATTACTACCTTTCCAGAGTAAATTGTCACCAAACTATCTTGTATCATCATGGTGTAATAATATTTAAATTGATATGGGTTATTGTGGATATGTATTATCATTTATTATTATTTATTATTTTTTATTTTATTTGTCTTTTTTATTCAAATTCATTCTTATTTTCACTTCATTTGGTATCAATATGCCCATCTGATGTGGATGGATTTTCTACTCAGATGCATCTAAGTGTAGTTTTTTTTTAAAACCATCGATTATAGATTCAAGAGGATATTGAACCAAGTGTGCTTTGGATCCTCTACCAATATCAAGATACTACTTTTTTTAGTCCTTTTTTGGACTCTCTCGGCTACTGTAATTTGGCACCTCCCTCTCTCGAATTAGCTGACCAATGAACATTGAGGGCGGGCTATTTAAACGTCATCTAACCGGGAAGCCGGTTCCCCCTGATGAGCCTCTAACCAAGGCGAAACGCGCGTCGGGTTGGATTGGGGTTGGATTGACGGGCTGACACTTACCCAATTTATGGTGACGGGCTGACACCCATTGTACCTTAGGCTGACACCCTCCTAATCTACTGTTATTGGGTGCACTAGTTAACTTACCTGATTCTTAGCCTGATCGGCGAGTACATCCTTTACCGTTCCTCTGAGATCTTTTCTAATATAGTAAGTCTCTATTTCTGGCAGTTATTCCCACAAGCCATTCGCATGGAGCCTGATAGTTAAATCTATCAGTCTCTTTAATTACCTGACAGTATACCTCCTATTGACCCATCTATAAGTGATATGATACAGAAGGTAGACTTTATCTCGGGCTGACATTAACCCGATTTATATGGGCGTATTCTGGGCTGATTTCTTTACCGGACTTATATTGGCTTGCTTAATTACCCTGTCCGCTCCTTTGCATGATCGGCTTATTTAGTTCTTGCCGACCTGCTTAGAAGCTAGACAAGATACACGAGAGAGATTTTTTGCCTCAGTAAATCTGTACAAATTTTTCTTACTAATCAGAGTATTTTTTTATAGTAATTTGGCACGATTGTTGCCATGTAAGAGAGTATAGATAGGTATTTCATCTTATTCTTCGTATCTACCTCTTTACTATACTAGGTGTCCATGAAGGCACCTTTCTAGCTACCTATATCTTTTCTTTTTAGAGTTCTACCTTTGACACTGTAGTGCATTAGCAGGGCTTCGTATATATAGGTGTGCCCTGGTGATTCAATTAATTATTTTTCACATTACTGTAGGACTCTGAACAACGTCTAGCTATTTCTAGTGGATCCATTCGTTCCTAAATACCGTATTTATCGGCGTATAACACGCACCGGCGTATAACACGCACCTCATTTTAAGAAGGAAATTTCAGGGAAAAAAAACTTAAAGGACCACTATAGTGCCAGGAAAACATACTCGTTTTCCTGGCACTATAGTGCCCTGAGGGTGCCCCACCCTCAGGGACCCCCTCCCGCCGGGCTCTGGAGAGAGGAAGGGGTTAAACACTTACCTTTCTCCAGCGCCGGGCGGGGAGCTGTACTCCTCCTCTCCTCCTTGCTCGCGACGTCATCGGCTGAATGCGCACGCGCATTCAGCCAGTCGCATAGGAAAGCATTTACAATGCTTTCCTATGGACGCTCGCGTGCTCTCACTGTGATTTTCACAGTGAGAAGCACGCAAGCGCCTCTAGCGGCTGTCAATGAGACAGCCACTAGAGGCTCTGGAGGCTGGATTAACCCTCAGTATAAACATAGCTATGTTTATAAAAAAAAGGGTTAATCCTAGAGGGACCTGGCACCCAGACCACTTCATAAAGCTGAAGTGGTCTGGGTGCCTAGAGTGGTCCTTTAAATTTCAAATAAAGAACTTCTTACCCCCCTTTCTTACTCCCCCCTCCCCCTCTTCTTACTTCCCCTTCCCCCTCTTACCCCCTTCTTACTCCCCTCCCCCTCTTCTTACTCCCTTTCTTACTTCCCCCTCCCCCTCTTACCCCCTTCTTACTCCCCCTCTTCTTACCCCCCTTTCTTACTCCCCCCTCCCCCTCTTCTTACTTCCCTCCCCTTTTCTGTACTTCCCTCTTCTTTCTTACTCCCTCTTCTTACTCCCTTACTCCCCTCTTCTTACCACCTCCCCTCTTCTTACCCCCTCCCCCTTCTACTCCCCTCCCTCTCTTACCCCCTCCCCTCTATTTTACTTCTAGGCTGCTGTGGTAGAAGGTGATAAGGTGCAAGCTCAGTGTGCACCTTCCTGTCAGTCCGACCGGGTACAGGAAACAGAAACTCCTGTTCCGCGCGGAACAGGAGTTTCTGTTTCCTGTACCCGGTCGGACTGAAAGGAAGGTGCACACTGAGCGTGCACCTTCCTATCACTCCGGCCGGCCACCGCGGACAGCAGAGCAGCTCGGCCACGCTACAGGGGAGGTGAGTACCAACTGCAGCCGCCTGACCGCTCTTGACAGAGCACTCAGGCGGCTGCAGTATTTAAAGGGCCGGCGTATAACACGCACCCACAATTTCTCCCATATTTTCAGGGAGAAAAAGTGCGTGTTATACGCCGATAAATACGGTAGCTGCTTTCTATGTAACAGCTGTTTAGTTACATTTTGGTATCTAAATTATCCTTGTGATACAATGTCACATCTCTTACTACATTGTAAGTTTTGTTTCTCTTTCTAGGGAACTTTTTGCCTATGTTCTCATCTGTTCCCTTTTCCCTCTCCTCTCCTTTCTTGTTTCTATTTTGTATTTTAAAGTTGTATAACAACAAATAAATAATAACAATTTTTTAACTGCTCTTCTGTATCTTTATAATTCCTTTGGATTAACAGTATATAGGACAGATTTTCTCCTCCTTTGCATAAACAATACACTCAGACACTCCCACACAAAATCCTCCCCTGCCTGTGATACAATTACCTTACACAATGGGCAACCTGCTGTAGGCTAGCAGGTCTGGGTCCGCCACCCAGTTTTCCCGTCTGCGTCCATGCTCTGCAGCTGGCATGAATTTAGTAGTTCCACATAGTCCATCTCCAGTTCTCGTTCCATGGCAGCGAAATGGCGGAGGTCTTCTCCCAGTCCAATAGATCTCGGGCCCTGTAAAATCTCACCTCAGTAATGCAAGATAGCCCAGTACCGTGACTCTGCTGGACTGCCAAAGTCGACGTCTTCCGCTAAGGTCTTCCACAACAGGCCAGGGCTAGTGTAGTTCTCCCCCTCCGGCTGGATGCCCTCTGCCCTCCACGTCTCTGACTGGACAGTGCACCACCACAGTGCCCGGTAGGAGGCGTCAAGGCTCAGTTCCCTTTCCACGAGGTACTCAAGTTGTCTTACCCGCTCCCCTCTGGGTTGGTCTCCCAGAAGCAGCATCCGCCAGGCCATTTGTTCCTCCAACTGGTATGCGACACCAGGAAGGCGCTGCTGCCGTTGATACTGGACTCCCTCCAGGGCATTGTACCATAATTCTTTCTGGGCAATATCTCTCCATTCTAATTCACTCTCTTCCTCAGGTGTGTGTGTTGCCCAGGGGTCCACGAACCACATTTTCCCAATTCTTTATGTAGACAAGGACGCTGTATGAACACTAGCGTCACCCTCAATTTGTAAATCCACGAACGGTGTCTCTGAGCTGCTTTACCTCACACTAGGACGCCATCCAACCACTTGCCACCATTGTAACAGATCACCTGGCACCCCGACTGCTGCTGGAGAGACCTCGGTCCCATCTCAACCTGCCTGTTGTGGTTCCTCACAGGACCAGTCTATGAGGACCCCTACTTCGGGTTCCTGTGGCCGCCTCCGGGGGAGACGGCTAGCCTCCGCGGATGCAGCCTCTACTCGGCTGCTGTAACACTCCTTCAGCTGAGCATACTATATCTTTTTCGCCAGCCGGAATTCTCGGTCCAGCCTTGTGTTTCACTCAGCCGTGACCTGGTTCCAGATCACCCTGCGTACCTCTGGGCCACTCACTGCCTCACCTCGGCCATCCAATCATTGCCAGAGCCTTCCATACTTGTCTGCTCCAAGCCGCTGGATACCTCTCCTCCCAGGGGCGCTGCCAGTGTGCTATAACTTTAACAATATACGTCCAATCTTAAATTACATTTTCAGAATCAGCATACTCCAAATACAAACATATGTCAAAATCACCCAAATTGGTCCATTGGTTCAAAAGATAGATTGAAGTCCTTTGTGACCAAATGAAGCATGGCTTTTCTGCCCAAAACCAGTTCCACAGAGTCTTCTATCCTGGAGATAATTGAGAAGTAATCCAATTATCTCTGAGGACAGAGGCAAAACTCCATTAAGCACATGGCAGTAAAAAGACAGTAAATACACACGGTTACATTTATTACATAAAATACAGACATGCAACATATCCCCAGATAGCTTAGGTCTGGGCGCACATTAATACTGAATGGCGCTCAGACCACACACACATACAGTTCAATTGCCATGGAGCCAAAGTCTTTTATTACATGAATAGGCTCCATGGCATAGCTATCTGGGTTAAATGAGTTAATTCAGTAAATCCGAGAAGCTACCGAACGCCAGGGCAGAAATACATGAATAGACCTTTCTGCATAGGAAAATAAAGTATTTAAATGCCGGTCCATAGTCAAAAGGCAGCAGGCAGGCAACCAGGCTCCTCCAGTGCACAGTGGCGAGGTTGGTTCTGCCACAAACGGTATGAAGGATATGACTACAAGGAAGTCTGTAATCTCTGCCTTGGTCACACCTCCAGAAGAGGCCAGACTGTGGGTGTCCTTGATCCCTTATTTAGTGTTAAACTGCTCTAAAATGGTTTAACATTGTATGGAGAGACAGCGCCAGGAAATTCCAGGCATCATAACCAATTCAAAGAGATGAAATGATTATAGTGAGTACAGTGTCCCTTTAACAATTTTCAATCTGTTCAGTTTAGAAATATGGCATCTTAGAGGGGATATGGTGGCATTATACAAATATATTCGGGGCTAATAGAAACCATTGTGTGGAAATGTATTCATAAACAAGACTATACATAGGACACATTTAGACTGGAAGAAAGGAGATTTTGTCTAATGCAATGTAACTGTTTTTTTTTAGTAAGATCCATAAGAATGATGAATTCTCTCCGTGAAGAGGTTGTTTTGTCAGAGTCTATACATATCTTTAAACAGCAACTGGATGAATACTTGCAAAAACATAATATTCAGGGATATATTTTAAAGTAACAGCTTCTTGATCCAAGGAGAGTACTGACTGCCATTCTGGGGTTGAGAAGGATTTTTTTTTCCTAGTTCGTTGCCAAATTTGGAAGTGCTTCAAGCTTTTTTTTACCTTCGTTTGGATGAATAGCAAAAACAGGTGTGAGAAAGGCTGAACTTGATGGACACATGTCTCGTTTCAGCTATGTAACTTATGTAGACAGTGGGATGTAATAGTGTGTGCCAATATGCCCTGAAGATCACAGACATTAAAATCCAAAAGGGAAATGACTTACACCCAGCCCAATTTGAATGTTAATGTTAGAAATCTTGTTTGTGACAAACTATGTTTTCAAGAATGTTATCACATGACAGGAGGCTTCATATTTTGCATAACTTTCTTTACTTTATGCCTCCAGCAGCACAAGTCAATCAATAAACTTTAAACCAATCAGTAACAGGCATCACATCCATATATAAAGCCCTGACAGACACATGACTTCCTCTTTCTTTGCTGCTTACCAGCCAAGGCACAGGTCAGAGTATTTTGCTCCAAACTGTTTTACTGAATATTGCAATTGTCATTAGTTAATCATTTATTGCTTAACTTTCAGTTTGTTCTAAACAGTTTTTATTAATATTGCTATGGTCACTGTAGTTAGACACCTTATGCTAGACATTCAGTTTTAATCCTAACTGTTTTTTCTGGATACCACTTTAATTAAACTTTATTAATTGACTTTCAGTTTGCTCCAACTGTTTTTATTAATATTGCTATGGTCACTTTAGTTAGATTTTTAATGCTAGACATTCAGTTTTTGCTCCAAACTGTTTCTGGATATGCATGGGCACTTTTGTTAAACTTTATTAGCTTGTCCTGCAATTTTGGCCTAAACGTTTTTCATTATTTTGCACTTGCCTTCCATTTGGATTTGTATAGTGTGATATTCTCCCCCTGTTACCCTTCCCCTGAATTACCCCTGTATTTTCTGCTTTTTTAGCCTGTTTTCTGTTGCTGGCACCTTTTCTTTCCTATGCTTTACTCTGGTCTCGCACGGATCGCGGCGTTTTACCGCGAACACGCTTTTTATTCATTGGTGCTGGGACTTCAGGGCAGGTCTCTGGGGGTTGGGGATGTCAGGGGGACTCTTTTCCATGCCGGCAGACCGCGATCGTATCCTCGATCGTGGGCCGCACAGCACTTTTACGTGCGAACGGCGGCCATCTTGAATCTCGCGGCACTTGCGAGATTCACGTCGGCCATGTCGTTTGGCCAGTTCGTGATTCCCATGAACTGGTGGCTAGTTCTGTACTGTTTCATATATTTTTCCTGTGAAATAAAAGTTTTACAAGTACTTTTGAGCTCAATACTGTTCATGGGCATGTGGAATAAAGGTTTTATATGTACCTTTCCTGGAAGATTATGAATGGACTGTTCACTGCTGAGCTCTATACTGGCATATTTCATTGGCATGTGAAATAAAAGTTTTATATGTAACTCTGCATGAATATGTAGGACTGATCCCTGATGTGTGCATCTGCTGACAGTTTGCTCTATTCTGTTCTATACAATTGACATGTTGAATAACAGTTTTATTGTACATCTGGAGGATTATGAATGGACTGTCCCCTGCTGTGGGCATATAGTGGATGCATTACTCTATCTACTGGCATGGAAATTAAATAGAGCTGATAGCTTACTCCGCTCCCTACTCCCACTGCACCTCACAACCATTGGATACACTCCTTCCCCACAGGGATACACCTCCCAGGACACAGTAGTGGAGGCACATAACGGAGTGATTAACAGGGGTGACCCCCCTTACGCTGGGTGACCCCCAAGCGTGGCAGACACCTCTCCAAAGTGACATTGTGGTACAGGGGTGACCCCCCTTACGCTGGGTGACCCCCAAGCGAATCTGGTTCCTGTCCTAGTGACATACATATACTGGGGTGATCCCCCTACTCTGGGTGAACCCCAAGCGAATATTATTCCGGTACTAGTGACATACATATACTGGGGGGAACCCCCACGCCCTAGGGCGGGCTCATTTCCACGGAGTACGATCTGTTACTGTATGCACAGACCGGGTCACACTGAATACATGTATATCGACAGAGCCAGGAAGGAGAGCTCATGGTGCTGCCAATTCTCCACAGTACTATATCCTAATAATGGATAATTTGGAGGCTACCATACCTCCCCATACACGGGCTACGTCCCGACATTACTGACCGCTCATCCCGGTCTTATTGAGGGAGACCCCCTCCTCAGACCACTCCCAGGAAATCTCTAAGTGGTACTGATTGAAACAATTCTGGGTGACCCCCAGTTGTACGTGGAGGCCCACTAAGTGGCAATAAGTGTAATACCGTACCTGACACCTGTTCGGTACCCCATAGACCGAAAGAGTGTCCCAACATGCCATAAGAGACATTCATACAGGGGTGACCCCCTATGCTGGGTGAACCCCAAGCGAGTCTTACTCCGGTGCTAGTGGCATAGGTACAAAGGGGTGACCCCCCACACCCTTTCTAGGGCTTCTACCTTCAGAGTACGCTCTGTCATTGTATGCACAGACCAGGGCGCACTAGATGCATGTATTCTGGCACCTCTATGCTTCAACTGGGGTTCCGTACGCCCTTCCCTTAACCGAGAAGGAGAACTCACAGTGCTGCCAAAACTCCACAATTCTAGACCATATAAGGATGAACCCCGTGGACTATATATATTGAGGCTTTCACGTCTCCCAGACTCAGGCTATGTCCCGACATTGCAGACCGCTCATCCCGGTCTTACTGAGGGTGTCCGCATTCTCAGACCACTCCCCGGATCCTGCGAAAATGATACTGATTGATCAAAATTCTGGGTGACCCCCAGTTATAAGCGGAGGCCCACTGAGTGGCAATAAGTGTATTGTTGTACGATCCTGTCTCCCACGGACCGAAAGGGTGTGAACCAACATGTCGGACTTACCTCAATATCCCCGACCGATTTTCAGGCGAGGATTAAGGCCGCCATGACAGCTCCGGGGGAAGAAGTCCTCTCCAGTATGCTGGCTAACAACCCATCCGACAGAGCGGGTGCAACGGCAGCAACACCAATGGAAGATTGAGATACCGACGTTAGGTCGGACACCCATCATCAGGGGACGAGGACTTCATCCTCCCCCCCCTTCTCTGGAGATCATGAAAGAATGGAGGGCAGAAGAGGTAAAAGTGACAAGACCCGCCTAGCAAGAAAGGTTTTTTCTTTGGCACACTGGACACTCCTGTTTTGACTCACGCACCATCCGACAACCAGGGTCATCCACATGGGGTTAACCGGAGCACCGGGCCCACTTCTGGCTTAGG